GTAGTATACTAGTATAGTAGTAGTATACTAGTATAGTAGTAGTATACTAGTATAGTAGTAGTATACTAGTATAGTAGTAGTATACTAGTATAGTAGTAGTATACTAGTATAGTAGTAGTATACTAGTATAGTAGTAGTATACTAGTATAGTAGTAGTATACTAGTATAGCAGTAGTATAGTAGTAGTATAGTAGTAGTATAGTAGTAGTATAGTAGTAGTATAGTAGTATAGTAGTGTAGTAGTAGTATAGTAGTAGTATAGTAGTAGTATAGTAGTAGTATAGTAGTAGTATAGTAGTAGTATAGTAGTAGTATAGTAGTAGTATAGTAGTAGTATAGTAGTATAGTAGTATAGTAGTATAGTAGTATAGTAGTATAATAGTATAGTAGTATAATAGTATAGTAGTATAATAGTATAGTAGTATAATAGTATAGTAGTATAATAGTATAGTAGTATAATAGTATAGTAGTATAATAGTATAGTAGTATAATAGTATAGTAGTATAATAGTATAGTAGTATAATAGTATAGTAGTATAATAGTATAGTAGTATTTAAAATTAGATCATAATGGATGATTCCAGCTATGAACTAAATTTTGATCTGGGCAAGAAGAACGTGAATCCATCACCACAGCTAGAACGAACATGTTAAAATTAGTAAAATTGCAAAGTTTAGCCGCGAAATGTTGTAAAATGCAGAAAATAAAGCCCTACAAAATTTGCAAATTTTGTATTAATTTGTATTACGCACGGGAAAATGCACCACATTTTAGCGAAAGTGGTGCATTTTCCCGTAATACAAAATTTCCTCATGTTACATCATTTCGCAACCAAACGTTGCGATTCTACTAATTTTAACATGCTCTTTCTAGCTGTTGTGATGGATTTTGTTCTTCTTGCCTAGATCAAAATTATATCTGCTGAGTGACTGTACAGTAATGTTTGATAAAGTTTAAATCAAATCATAATACACGACACAAGTTTTGATAATCTCGTAGCGCTGAATTAATAAATTGGAAGATTGGATAAAATTAATGTTTTCATCTATGTTCTTTAGATATCAAGATTTTAAACTTCAAACATGTTGGGCTGAACATTTTGCTATTGTTCAGCATGCTAGGTCTGCTAGCAGTTGTAGAATCTAGTCCGGAAATAACAGGTAATTCGAAACTTTAGTTCTTTTTACATATATTTTTTGCACGGTATTATAATACTTGAAAAAATTCGAACCAATGAATCAGGTATTAAAATAGCGTGTTTATTGACACACTTTGTATATCCTTGTAAAAGAAAAACGTGTCCTTGCAATTTGAAAAGTGTGTACTTGGGACAGTGTACTTGGTCTTGACTCTTGGGAATAAAGCCCGGAAAATTCATTTCCAGCCATTTCCCACAGCAATATTGTTTAAAGGGTAGCTTATATGGACTCGAAAATTGACGGTGTTATTATTTAGTCTAATGTGAAAGGTCATTGAAAACTGTAAAGCATTTTCCTTGATAGATTTTTGTTTTCTTGCTTCGTTTTGGAGGTATCTCATGATGATATGCAAAGGACCAACTTCCTACGTCACATATGCATAATGATTTAGCCCTGAAATCTGTATATCTTTACTATGACAAAATATAATCAGTAGAAAACCTACATGGGTATTGTCGTGGACAAATTTCGTTCATCATTCATTCTGAGCAAATTTATTTGATAGTGACAAAATTATATAAATACTCCTAAAAACACTCCTACGCGTGCTTTAAATAGTACATATTCTAAGTTCTTTGAATGTTTGCATGGCGATAAAATATAATTGTTTTTGTTTGTGGAAACACCACGTAAATTTATTACTGCAAAGCTTTCGATCCGTAAGCCCGGATCTTCATCAGTGCATCTTCATCACATATTATTAGCACTGATGAAGATCCGGGCTTACGGATCGAAAGCTTTCCACAAACAAAAACAATTATAGTACATATTCTGTTTATAACATGGCAATTAAGAAACGCCTGTAAAATTACCGGCTTCAATTATTTTTCTATAGGCGGTTTTATGGTAATGGTAATATCTGCAGAAATCATGCTATAAGAATCTGGACTCGCTTTTAAGGATTTTCACTGGTTATGAATTTAAGGATTTTCATTAACTAGTTATGAATCATTTAGACTGCATGACTCGAAATTAAAAGGTATTCAATTTGAAACAAATTTTTGTCTCAAAAAAGGCACTTAACTTAGTTAACGAATATTCAACAAGCATTTTCTTAGTTAACGAGTATTTGTGCAGCTCAAGCTAGTCTGCGTCCCACACTTCCAATAAATGAATCTATACATTTATCCATAGATTATCTACGAATATCTATGAATTTATCTATGAATAAATAAATGTATAGTTTAATTTGGTTTAGTTAGTGTATGCAGTAGTCTTGTATCTAAAAGAAAATAAAGAAATATAGTTTACTCAAACCTACTAATACCTTATACCCAATTCTTTTGATTTAGGACCACAAAGAGAAGTGATTTCAATATACAATGATGACTTTACCACCCCGCCATCCACACCTCAATATTTCATCGAAGTTTATCGCTGTGTTAAACTTGACTTTGGCGAATGCTCTAGCAGTGGACCGTCTACGTACCCGGTTCCAAAAACAACGAACGAGATTGAGATAGTGGTTCCGGATATAACAAACAAAGATCGGGATTCTAGCGATAAAAAGAAGTTTTATAAATATGTCGTTCATAATCACACTGCTTGTCAATGTGGGAAATTAAAGTACAGGAATGGTAGACTGTATAAAACCATAACTAATAACGAAGGTTAGTCCGGTTTACACTGAGCAAATACCATGCAATTACCTAAAATGAACATGCTTTGTGATTAATTTTCTTTCGCTCGTTAGATAATTTCTTTTGTATTTTATTGTTATAGTCATAAAACATATTCATATGTAAGTTGATGACAATACAACCAGGGGCCGGTTGTATAAAACTCTTAATCACTTTTTCAATCACTATTTTGTAGTTAGATAGTGATTAACTCTTAGGGACGGACCATTAGATATTTGAGGGGGTGGTTGCAGAAATCCCCCCAAAAAATTCGAGCAAGCCTTTATCCTTAAAAAAAACGTGCGAGAAGAAAACTAGCGAGCATCCATGCATGCTATGAGAATAAACTCCAATTCCTGGACCCCTAATTGGAACTTCTGGATATAAAATATGAAGAATACATATAGAATGCTATGACAATCCTGATGATCACCCATCATTGCACAATGCAAAGCTTCCAAATTTGTGAAGGCACAGGAGTTTAAAAAATTAAGGCGACAAAACCTGCGAACGGGCATACGGGCTGGCTGCAGTCCTATGCCCAACCCCACACATAAATTCATTATAGCTGCAAGACATGAAGTACATACCAGAGGTTGTGCGACAACCACTGAGTCTGAGAGCGCGGATAATCTGCCTTGATTTATTGCATATTAATAATTACTACCACGGAGTAAACAGATTTGTTACCTCCGCCAGGAGGTTATGTAATCATCTGGGTTTGTATGTGTGTGTGTATGTGTGTGTGTATGTGTGTGTGTTTGTCTGTGAGCACGATAACTCAAGAAATACCAAACATATTCATACGAAATTTTTTTAATGCATTTCCCATCGGCTACGGAAGAACTGATTAAAATTTGGTTGAATTTGGTTAAAAATTGAACGAGAAATGAACAAAATTTTGTCTTGCTTTTCCCGGTCAATTAAAAAAACTCACTGAATGCGTAATTAGGACGTGTATAATGTATGCACGCAGTACTAAGCCTCATTAAGCTCCAGCCTTCATTATCTATTGTCTTAGTTGCATTTCACACGACCGAAATTCAATGGGGGCGGAGGTATGCAGTCTCTGAGTGCCCTCTAGTTTATTCTGTGGTAATACAGAACCCCGGAACAGGCCTTCAGATTGCCGACCAGCTTGCCGCCACTTCGGGCTACCATGATACCATGTCTCCAGCTGCCTGTACCTCGTGTCAAAGATGTTGTAGATGAATGTGGATAAGTACACGCCTTAAAATTATGACCTGTTCTTAATTATTAAATCAGGACCTGTATTTTTGTTCAAAGGCAATCGTTTACAGTTTGTTTCTCTATGGAACTGATTAATATTTGCAACTATGCCGGAAACAGTGGCGTAGCCAAGGGGGGCCGACCGCCCCCCCCCCCCATTCGCCATAAAACCATCCTCTCAAAAAGGCTAAATCCGTAAGGAAATTGTGGGAGGGGGTACACGTTGCATGCTCAAAGCTGAAACCGATTAAGTATGTCTCGAGTGAGGAAAAAGACGATACACTGGAGGAACTTGATTTGTAAAATCTCGTTAAAGCATTTGTAGTCTTGTAGATATGGTTCCAAGAACTGTTAAATACATGCATGCATTATCATAGCATGAATATTTCTTCTCAAACTTACTCTGTATCGTATAAAAAACAACGCAATTCTGAGAATGCGGAAATGGTATCTCATAGAACCTAGAATGATTTAAATGCAACATTTCTGATCAAAATCACATGGCTCCCATCAGCATCACAGAGGACAAATAAGGTGACACTGACCCCTCCTCCTGTTTTCAAGGTGACTTTTCCAATTTATTTAATTCCGAGTAGAATTCTGCTAGACTTCACCTCCAAAATGCTTGAAATCTCATTTCAGGGACCACCCAAAAATGAAGGTCTGGCTACGCCACTGGCCGGGAACGGAGCAGTCACCGTCGAAAGGGCTTGTTTACACTATCAAATTTTCTTTCAAAGATATTGTAACCCGCCCCTATTAAAAACTACAAATAAAAAAATTCTTCACGCCTGGCAAAAAGTAGTCCAAAATCGCCGGAGGTGTTGTAACTTCTTTAATTTTCATGCTGATTGTACGAAATTTCCCTTAGACATAGAATATATTCTTACTTTGTTTTTGGACATTTTATTTTTTGGCGGGAGAATGACGTCACAAACATGGCGCCAAAAATTTAAAAATTAGCAATTGCTAATATCATATCTTTATTTGGAAGAGCATGCTGTAGGGAACCTGAAACTGAAGTCTGTATCGAAATACGACCATTCGCTGCAAAGATAGACTGATTCAAAGTTGGAAAAATCGGCCATTTTGTTACTAAAAATAGAACAAAATGGCGGATTTTTCGAAATTTGAATCACTCTATCTTTGCAATGAATGGTCGTATTTCGAAACAGACTTCAGTTTCAAGATTCCTACAGCATGGTCTTCCAAATAAATAAATGATATTAGTCATTGCTAATTTTTAAATTTTTGGCGCCAAGTTTGTGACGTCGTTTTCCCGCCAAAAAATAAAAAATCCAAAAGCTGCACGATTTGTAAGAATCATATGTTCTATGTTTATGGAAAATTTCGTACAATCAGGATGAAAATTAAAGAAGTTGCAACACCTCTGGCGATTTTGGACTACTTTTTGCCAGGCGTGCTTGCAAGCGTTTGACTATTAAACGAAAAAAAAGCGTGCACAACATGTGCGTCCAAACTGAAAAATCCTGCAAGGAAAAAAGCTGCAACCACCCCCTCAAATATCTAATGGTCCGTCCCTTATTGGATGACTTTTCCACTAACTATAGTTAACTTTAATCACTTTTTTATACAACCGATCCCAGGCGAACACGGGAGCTCTCCCTTCAACACTGAATCAAACTGCTATACTGAATATCAAGACTAGATATTGTTATCTGCATATAAAGCGCGTTTTCCACTCCAGACGAACTCGCGCGAAGCGTCTTTGTCGTCATCGCTCTTGCTAATGTGATTAGCAATGCTGACAACGGATAAAGCAGCTGCGCGTGGTAAATTCGCCCGGTGAAAAATGGGCTGTGCTTGGTTTTTTCCTGTACAAGGGGGGATTTTCTCCGTGATTTCTGCCCCGGGTTTTCTTCTCCCATAAAAAAGTAACCAACCCATGCGGCCTTAGTTGCACTCCATGTGATAGCGAGAACCCGAGGCGCTTCAGTCAACCTTCAGGTTTCAGCTGCAAGGACAGGTGATTTTTACACCGCAACTCCAACCTGTATGAATTTTTCTTGCAGTGTCAGCAGCTTATTTCAAAGCGAAGTTTTCGAAAAATCCAGTCAACCTGATACGTGTGTGTAACGTTTGCAACAGCACTCAAACTAGATATAAACTCCATCCAGACCATTTCAACGTTGTCTTACCATCTAAGTATCTGACGTTCCAACAGTGCTTGCCTGGCTGTGTAGTGGTAAAAAACGAAACGTCTAACAAGCAAACTTCCATGCTGTCTGGTAGTCCCGTTAGTGTCCCACTTACAAATGATATTTCATGCAAGGCTTATGACGGAGCTAAAACACAACAACAAGGTAAAAATAATCCTCAGAATCAAAAGCTCAAAAGCTTATCCTCAGAAAGTCCAGTTGGAAACTTGAGTACACAAGGTAAGAAATCATGGCTCTGATTAATTGTACTAGACACGAATGGTCCATCCCGACGATCTTCGGAAAAGAAAAGATAGTTCGTCTGATAATTTAACTTCCGACAAATACACCAATCAGCTGTCAAGACAATCTTCGCTGTTACCAACCCAGAAGATTGGACAGATGGCGTATTAGAGAGGGGGCATAATAGAGTGGGTTTATTAGAGAGAAAAGCGTATTAGAGAGGAAACTTAATAGGGCGGATATAATCCATCTTGATGAATGATTCTCTTGTTTGCTGTATTTGTACACAGATACACTTTCAGACGAACTATATTTTTCGTTCAGACTGATCATCTTTAATAAACTGAACTTCCAGCACAATTTATAAATCTAATTATTAGAAATACGTTTTTCGGTTATGTGGGCAGGGTCGAGGAAGCTTAAGAGAAGCGGGTCATATTGGCCAGATGGCGATTAGAGTATATAGAGAGAAGATTATTAGAGAAGAAACTTAATAGGGAAGGGGGCTTATTAAACGGGGGGATTGATAGAGGGTATCAGAATTTACGCAATAGAGAATTGATAAATTAACAAGAATTATTATGTTCCTGTTTAGAGCCAAATTATGAGATTCTAGTTTACATTGCTTCAGGAAAAGTTATCCTCGCCGCCTTTCTACTGTCGTTGGTATTATTTGCTATATTAATTATGGATTTTACTCTTTGCCGTCGAAAGAAAGGATTTCTTTACGCTTTGCTTGGCTGTAAAAGTGATGACGTGGAAAATTTTTGTCAGCGTTGCAGCGAAAGAAATAGAAATAAGATTACAGTGTAAAACATAAGTAAGAAAGAAGACAATGAGTTTAGGCCATTAACGTTATAGCAACGGCCCATTGTGCATGAATATATTTCTCCTATTTGCAAGTAGTATAGCTTATATATTAATAATAATAAAAGCATGTATTTAAACACGATAGTAAATTTACAGCATAGCTGATGTGATCGTGCACGTGAAACTAACTACAATATATAAATATAAACTAATTGAATACATCTACCTCTACATTATCTAACAGAACAACAAATTACATGCATGTCACATAGCTGAGATACTATTTTACACAACCATACATATTAACTACATATTGTAATAGAGATTTTTATCATTAATTGTAAACTATAGAGATTAATTTAAGTCGTACACTTTTAACGCCTATGCCTGGCTCGGATGAATGGTCAACCACATCTCGTGCTCAGGATTACACGAAACATATATATAGATTTAATTCGATTTTAATGACATTGATTAAAGAATTTTGTAAATCGTAAGATGTGTAAGTTTCTCTCATTATATCAAGACATGCATGGCAAACCACACAGAAAATCATGACCATGCATGAATGAAGGAGCTTGTACCTTTGATACAAAATAGCTTGCTCATTTACAAAAACTCACAACTCACAAAATATTAAACAACAATATGGAATTAACATCATATAAAAACAACAACCCATTGGCTTCATAGATCTGTTTTGAAATTTCCATTTAGTTTTTCTTGTTTCGGAAAATTGCCCTAAATTTGGGCTATTAGTAGTTTTTAATCCGTTTCACTACAATATTTTACATTTCCCCTTTCCTATCCAATTCATGTTTTGTCGACTGGGAAAGCAATTTGCCTACTACTTGACTGGGGGTCAAATTTCACTGTCGAATAGTAATTATATTATTGGGGAGAATTGACAGTCAACGCTTGAATTAGATGCAAATTTGCCAGCGACTATAATTCGTATTCTATGGTTCCATGGGCTGACAAATGACTTACAGTCTATAGGCATAGCTTCAATAAAATCTCAAGCGATTATTTCAAGTACCTAGGAAGCAAAACCCAGGATTTTATTGTGTCCGTGGCCGAGTCCTCCTTGATTTTTCTACCAAAACAAAATGTTGGAGATCCGGAGAAGATTCCCTTACTATAACGTCGTTGGCGAACGATGTTACCACGTCGAACGACGTCGGTTAGAGGCTGGACTCTGTAGCTCAGTTAGTTAGAGCGCTGCACCGGAATCGCAGGGTCCCAGGTTCGACTCCTGCCAGAGGGCCTATTATAGTTTCATAATTTTTCTCAGCTGGTCCTGGTTAAGTCTAAATAAATATATAAAATTTACTCTCGAAATTTCCAGCTACAAAATCCTTCGACATTACTTCAGTCGAGTGAGATGGCCGAAAATCCTATTTAAGTGAACACGTATTGTTAGATTAGTTAAATTAGATTGAATTTCATATTGATGATTGTCTAAGAAAACTAGATATATAAATTAGATACTATCCTTGTACAGGATCATTTGTCTCTATTGTATGCCACCATATTTAAAGGTATAAGATTTCACCAGGAGCCATAAATATCATGATTTGTCTCCCATTCGTCGTACGTCCAACAAGATCTTTCCCAGGGTTCCTCGTTATCGATACAATAAGGAGTGAGTGGCGGCTTCCTCACATTTTTAAACAAGTGGCTTGTCTTGCATGATTTCACAATTTGCCTTAAATAAACACACACCTTGGCCAGGGCTGTTAAACTTGCGTGATCAAGGAAAGTTAAAATCATTACAATTACCTCGACAGGTAGTTGTAAAAAAACAGGAACACTATTATTCCCTTGCAAAATGGTTTGCACAAATTGCCACTGATCAATCGATATCGTCGAGATTGGTTTCCATCCCTTGCACCATGTTTGCTTGAAGTTGTCACCAGGTTCATATCCTTCTAATGCGGGAGACGTCGGGCAGATGTAGTTCAGAATTGGTAACCGAAGAAAGTTTGGTTTCGAATGATGGTAAAATGGCGAAAGATTAACATCATCTGGTCGACCAACAGTGACCTTCAGTGACCTTCGATTCTTGAATTGGCTACGCGCATGGCGATAGGGTTTAAGCTCGTTAAGAAGTTGGCAGAAACGACCGTAGTTTCCCTCACTATCTTGTATTGATAACTTTAATTCTTCGTTTCTTTGAAGATTATCAACGTTAGTATCTACCTTGATGCCCCAACATTTATCAAAATCGCATAAAGAATTAGATGAACTGGGCTCTTGAAGGCACGTTTCAACCACTCTCACTGTTTCTTCAAACTTTCTCCCGATTGCCAACACCATGCGACGAATCTCGACTTGAAAGTGATGCGGTGCGTTTCCAAAGACCTCTTTAATCTTATCATGTTTCAGAAGTAACCAGATAACCTGAGGGTGAACAAGTTGAGAAAGTTGGGACGTACTCTTCCACCATCGGTAAACAATCTTCTGTCTACTTCCGTCGTTGAACCTTATAACCCATCCTTCTTGTCGTTTTTCATTTGCTGGCATAGCACCTGAAATGAACGCAGGCCAATTCGGAGTGGTTGTTTCTTGACTGGATTTAATTCCACCACAGTACCATAACACTTCTGAATATGAACCAGTAATCCGTGGGGCTACCATGAAGAATCCGATGGTTCTAGCACAGTGCACAGCGTCTTCGTAAGGTAACTCATGACCATGTTCATCAGTAATAGCAAGTAAGACAAGACCTTCAAATGGATAGTTCACAACGACGGTGTTGCTCTGAGAGATGATTTCAAACAAGTACGTGTATCCTGTTTGAAACTCGGTAAGATTGCAGTGATCTTTGATCCACTGTTTCGCCCATATAGCTTGCTCTGAATCCATTCTTCGTTTTGTTGTCACCATAACTTCACCATTCCACAGGAATGCAATACCAAGTGATCCATCATACTTTATTGTAGCTTCAACAACTTCGTCTAGATCACGATTAGGCACATCTAGAAAATAAAAACCAATTACCAAACCTACCTGTACACACAAAAACAGCGCTATGGGCTATTTTCCACATATCACAATAGTTGACTTTGAGAGAAAATTGAAGTTTCCCGTTTGCGGTTAGAAGCAGAGGCGTAACTAGAGCGCTAATTGGGGGGGGGGG